AATTAGCTTTCGTTGCAATAAATAAAAACAAAAAGGAATATACTTTTATAATTATAAGGATATGCTTAAAAGCACCCATTTAATTGGTTGTACCGGCCGCACAACCACCCCGCAAGCGGGTTAAAAGTATAATGCTTAAAATAAAAGCGCTGCCAAAAAAAGCAGCGGCAAAATCGCTACCCGCGGCAAAGGCGGGACCGAAAAAAAACGGCGCGTTTTTTGTTAACGCGGTTTTTCCAATTACGATTGCCAATATCGGTGCAACTCGTAAAAAGCTTGGGTAAAAACCGCGTTTTTGCGGCCAATGCTAAAACCCAAAATGTTAATTTAAATAAAATGCATAGCGGTAACGATTTGATTGCCGTTAGTTATTGCGAAAGTAAATGCTTTATTAACGCGTTAAAACCGCGAATTAGCAATATAAAAAGCGTTAAAACGTTTGCAAATGCTTTTATTTTTGCAATAAAAATTGCATAATATAACCGTAATAAACGAAATATAATTCCGAATACCGAAAACTTTGCATATTTAATAATAACGGTTAGCAAAATACAAATATTTAAATCGATTTTAACGCGATTTACGTTAATGCAGCAAATACAAAAAATTTAAATAAAACGAAAAACCGCGGCGTTTTTATCGTTAAAATTGCTTTTAACCTCGAAATTATTTGCAAAACGCCAGGTTTTTTTTTAAAAAAAAAGAAATTTCCAAATCCCCAAAAAAAAGGGTTAAAAAGATTTCGCAGCGGTAAATATAATAAAATTAAGGATTAAAAAAAAGCAATAAAAAATTGCAAAAAGAAATGTTAGCACCGGAATAAAAAGGAATGGGTAATTAACAAATTACAATTAAAATGCGAAACGGAAAAAAATTGGGAAAAAAAACAACGAAAACCATCCCGGTAACGTAAAATTCCTATGCAAAATACGAAAAAGCAAGCACAAAAAACGAAAACGGCAACGGGTTAAAAAAGGAATAACAAGCGCGCGGTACCTTTAAAAAAACCGAATTAATAATAAAAAAAACATAAGGAAAAAAGCCATAACGGGTTACGAAAAGGTTCGGAAAATACTTAATACGAGCCCGAAAAAAACTACAATTAGCATATAGAAAATAAAGCTATTACAACCCGTTCAGCGGAAAAAAGGGAAAAAAGAAAAAAAAAGCTATGTTATAAATCCATGCTAAACACGGATTACGTAACCCAAAGGGTGCCTTTTTGGGCCAGGGTTTATGTATATAAAAACCACCCCGACTTTTCCAAAAACAAAAACCCAACCTTTTCCTTTTTCCTTTTTATTTTGTAAAATAACAGTACTTTAGTATTTGCCAAGCATTACTTAATGGTTTAACTTATTACAAAAAAAGTATTAAAAAATTAATTTTTAAAAAAAGGGATAACGCTTACTTTTTACGCCTTAATATTAAAACAAAAAGGCCAAGCAATAAATTAAACAAAAAAAGTTCGAACCTTTCCGGGTTAAGCAAATTATTTTTCCAATTAATTATACATTCCAATTACTTTTAATTATGCAAATTTACTTAATTTTTTACGTTTTTTTGCTAAAATTAGCTTTAATTAAACCAAAAAGCACCGAATTAATAAAAATTAACCTTAACCAAAAGTAAAAGGTTAAAGCTATTTTAAACGAAAAAATGCATTACCGCAAATAGCAATATTTCGTTAAATAAAAAAGTCAAAAAAAAAATAATATATAAAAATATGCAACAAATTTTGGGAATTGCCAAAAAGCTTTGCAAAAATATTACTTAAAAAAAAGTTAACAATAATTTTAAAGCTTGTAAAACGCTTTAAATTTGTAAAATTTTAGCGGGCAAAAAAAGGAAAATCCCAATAACTTATTTAAAGGATAAATTAGCAAATAAGCAAAAAAATTATATATAATTAAAACTTTAAATTACTTTTTGGATTTTAATTATATATAAGTTGTACCGGGAATTAAATTTAAAACTTTCCGCTTTAAAAGCAAACGCGTTACCATTGCGCGATACAACCAAAAGAAATTGTTAAGGAAATTACAATTTACCCGGGTAAAAAAAAGCAAACAAGTTAGGGTTAAAATTAACTTTTAACTTTGCTTAACTAAAAAATAAAGGGAAAAAAATCGGGTTAAAACAAAAAAAAGGGCTAGCTGCTAAAGAAACAGCTTGCGCGGCTTTTTTTTGCTTAACTTAATCCAATTTTTTTACGTTATTTAAATTTTAACAAAGCATACAAATGTACCGCTTTCGTTAATAAAGAATTTGCTTTTTAAAAAATTTACGTTTGTTTTTTAAATAACAAAATTTAATAAATACAAATTTTATTTTGTTCCGAAATTTGGAAAATTAAAAAGTAATATAAAGCAATTAAGCCCGAATTGGCTTTAATACGTTACAATTAACGCGGTTTAAACGAACGCATTCCAACCAGCAAAAAAAATTAATAAGCAAAGCCCGGCAAAAAGAAGATTTACGAAATTTGCAATTGGAATAAAAAAGCATTTTTATACCCGATGCAAAAAAAAAATCGAAAATATCGCAATAACAAACGGTAAAAACCCGCAAAACGGGGAAATTCCGTTTTTAAATTTGCCCGAACATTTTATTAAAAAAAAGGAACGGTAAAATAATAAGGAAAAATAATCCTTACAATTAATAAAAAAAACAATACGTAGCTAACGGGCTTTAGCTATTAAAAAAGGATTTAATGTTATAATTAACAAATATAACTAATAAAAAAGCAAGCGGGCAAAGGCTAACAACCCGGGATAAAAGGTTACCTTGTACCGTTACGTAACAAAAAGGTAATACGTTTAATATTAAAAGAATTAACAATATTACCAATACTTGCGATAGTTAAAAAATCGCAAATATTAACTTTTAAGCAAAGAAAATGCTTAGCCCAAAAACAGGGTATAAAAAGGAAGGATTTCTTACTGTTTTAAGTAGTTTTTAATTAAGGCTTCAGCATTAATTAATTTAAATTAACTTTTAAGTAACCTTTGGAGCAAGCATTTAAACCGCACCCAAATTACTTTGTAAATCCCTTTAATTGTTAAGTTACGTGCTACTGCTTAGTATTCCTTTAGTGCTTTACTTTAAAAGCAAAGGCTTAACTGTAACACCGTTACAAAAACGAGCGCGTTACTAGTGCGCTACACAATTAAAAAAAATTGTTAAAAAATTATATTTTACCCGATTAAAAAAAAGCAAATAAGTTAAAATTAAAATTAACTTTTAAAATTGCCCAATTAAAAAACGAAAAAAAATCGGCTAAAGCAAAAAAAAAAGCTAGTTACCGCTACGGCAATAGCTTGCGCAACTTTTTCCCGTTTTACCCGTTCCAGCTTTTTTACATTATCGATACCCCAATAAAAAGCGCGAAAAAAGGTTTCCCGTTACAATTTTTTTTATTACCGCAAACGCTTAATGCGTGCGTTAGCTATATAACGCGCTTTTTCCGCCTTTTTTAGCTTACGCTTAGCTTTAGCATATTAAAGGGTTACGTAATAAAATTAAGCAAAAAAAAAACGCTTCAAAACGTTGCAACGAACCCGGTTTGCGCAAATGCAAAAAATATAGCGAAAAAAAATCGCTAAACGAAATTAAATAAAATAAACGATTTTTAAATTTGCAGAAAAAATAAAAAAGCATAATATTTTTAAAAAACAAAATAAATTAAAGCAAAGTATTTTAACGGAATATCGAAAAATAACCGGACAATTTTGGGTTTTAAACCCGTTCGAACATTTTGTTAAAATAAAAAAAGGACGGTTAAATAACAATAAAAAAGTACTTACAATTAATAAAAAAACGGGAAAAATAATAATACGTAACCAAAAGGGCTTAATTATTAAAAAAGGAATTTAAGGTTACGATTAACAATTATAGCCCCAAAAAAAGCTAAAAGAAGTAACGGCACCAATTAGCTAAAAAGGCTACCCCGCTCCAAGTTACGTAACTTTAAAGTAATACGTATAATACGGAACCGTATTATACGCATTACTACAACCACCGGTAATACGGCCGCAACAAGCACTTATTAATAAAGGGTTGGTAAGGTCGGAAAAGGTATAAAAAGGAAAGGTTTTTTATTGTTTAAGTAATTTTTAATAAATGCACTAGCATTAATTAATTTAAATTAGCTTTTAAATAACATTTAAAGTAAGCATTTAAACCCTACTTAAAATACCTTGTAAATCCCCTTAATTATTAAGTTACGTGCTACTGTTTAGTATTCCTTTAGTACCTTACCTTAAAGCAGAGGCTTAATTGTAACACAAAGTATCGATTTATTACAGTAAAAAGCTAAAAATGCCAATTTATTATAAAATGGGCAATAAGCTTATTTACATATTTGAAATTTTAGTAATTAATTTTATTATTATGGAATTTGCGATTAAAATTTAATGCATATTTGTTTTTATGTTTTTAGTAACTTATAGCGGCTTATAGCGGGTGCTTTAGCGGGGTAATATTTTAACTTTTTAATATAATAATTTTAACATGTAATAACTTAACCAGCATTACGTATTTTAAAAATTAAAATTGTAAAAAGCGATGCTTTTATTTAAAATAATACATTTACAATTTATTGGATTTCTTTTTCATTTTATTTCAATTTTTATTGCCGAGTTAAAGTGGCGTGTTTTGGTGGGGGTATGCGGGGGTGTCTGCACACTTTTGCTGCATAACTGTATGCGGCTCGCAACAACAACGAATGTACTTAAACAAAACTTCCTAACAATAATGTGCCTTGCAATGTTAGTGCACCGGGATTTTTTCCTATAATTATTGCTTTTTTACTTACAAATTGTTAAGGAAAAGGTATTTTTACACGTTGCAGCCGCAAAAAGGTACAATCCTAGTACTCGCGCTTTTGGCAAGTTTGGGAGCCGGTTAAAAGTAGAAGATGTAATCCGGTTTCTGTTGTTTACTTTCTGCGTGCATAATCCGAGTTCCGTGGAGTGCGCCACCTTATGGCGATTAGTTGTGGCTGGAACAAATTCGTCGCCAAGACGATATCCACCAACGGGCTTGCAGCTGATGACATCGCGGAGGGCAAACATGAGCCACCTTGTTGGCCCACCACTGCGTACTCTCAGCATTCCCTGACCTCGGAAGGGTTGCTTTAATTGCCCACGAATTGGCCCGCCTACCACGGCGCGAACATTACGCATCGCCCAAGACGCGATGGGAACTCTGAACTTCCTTTCGAGCGTTTATCGCCTGGAAAATCTCGACACGCGCTTTGTCACATCATCAACCACCCCGTACAAGGTGCACGCTGACGGAGCTGCACCGCGAAAGGGACGCGACGGTGCCGAGACCCGCGCCCAGCCGTCAAGATGGAATACACTGGAGTTCTACGGCTACTACCTATTTCTCTTCTTCCTGATACCGTATATGTTTTGGGTCGCATATGATGTTTCGAGGCGTGTGTAGTTCTTCCCCCCCCCCCCCCTTCCCCTCCTAGCTCTGGATCTTGCGAGGAACACCAGGACTGACCGAGTACGGCGACAGCTTCTGACCCGAGGTATTCCAAATATGCGCACCTGCTGGTCCCCGGTTGGATACCCGGGCGGATGGTGGTGAGCGCCATCCCTACCAGTCCCTCTCGTGTCTGGAATCGGACTCACAAAGCTCGCAGGATGCCTCGGATCCCCAATATCATACCTTTAGAGCCAATCTACCGGCCATGACGGCACTGCTGGTTCTCCATCCGCTCTCTCGGCGCGCATGGAACGCCATGTTCCCGCTGCCTTCAAACACAAAGTCGCTGTCGGAAATGGCAGATGAGAGATTGAGACAGCGGGTTTCTTTCGACTTTGCGTTTGCCCTCGTATTCCTTGTGATTCTCCATGGGTTCTCCGCGGCAAAAGTCCTCCTGATTCTTTACGCCAACTATAACATCGCTATGCGCACGCCTAAAAACCTCCTCCCAGCGACCACGTGGGCCTTCAACATTTGCACACTCTTCGCCAACGAGCTCTGCCAAGGCTACAAGTTCAAAAGGATGGCGCTCCTTGTCGCCGGGTCCTCCACCGCTGCGGGGAATGGTAGCGGGCCGTTGCTTGTCAGCTGTGGAGAGTGGCTTGACAGCTGGGGCGGCATCATGTCTCGCTGGGAGATATTGTTCAACATCACAGTGCTGCGTCTGATCAGCTTCAACCTGGACTTCTATTGGAGTCTGGATCAGAGGAGTCTGAGCCCAGTCGAGGTTAGGAAGACCCGTCGTCTCGTAACCGGCCACTCTATTGAGACCATGTGAATGTCCCCTGAAGCTAACACCCCAAAGAAGAAACAGCTTGATGTGGCCAACCTGTCGGAGAAGGAGCGTGTATCCACGCCCTCGCAGCCGTCGGACTTTTCGTTCCGAAACTACGTCGCGTATGCCGTTTACGCACCCTTGTATCTTGCCGGACCTATCCTCACGTTCAACGACTATATATCTCAGCAGCGGTATCGGGGCGTTGGTATCGAGACGTCGCGCACAGTCCGCTATGGTATACGGTTCTTGCTGGCACTTCTAGCCATGGAAGTGGTGCTCCACTTTGACTATGTCGGCGCCATCAGTCAGGCGAGCCCCGTCTGGGCCAGCTACACGGTGGCACAGCTAAGTCTGCTATCGTACTTCAACCTCCACCTGATTTGGTTGAAGCTGCTCCTCGCCTGGCGTTTCTTCAGGCTCTGGGCACTCCTCGACGGCGTCGATCCGCCCGAGAACATCGTCCGCTGTGTTAGCAATAACTACAGCACCTTGTCCTTCTGGCGCGCCTGGCACCGCTCATACAACCGCTGGTTGGTACGCTACATGTTTGTCCCATTGGGCGGCGCCGACTTCCGGTCGAGGAAAGGAGCCGCACGGTCCATACTCAACTACATCGTCATCTTCACTTTCGTGGCTCTTTGGCATGACATCCAGCTCAGACTCTTGATCTGGGGCTGGCTGATTGTCCTCTTCTTTATCCCCGAGGTGGTTGCTGGCTATTTGTTTCCCCGTCGGAAGTGGGAGAATCACCCAATCGCATATCGCATGCTCTCCTGCAGCGGTGCAGTCCTCAACGTCCTCATGATGATTTCGGCGAATCTGGTCGGTTTCGCGGTCGGTCTTGATGGTTTGGAGGCTATAATCCACGGCATTGTCCACGACTTTTCTGGCAAGTGTCTCTATCACCCCCTTGCAAGTCCTCTATTGTCTTGTGCGCCAGAACATTATTTTGCTTCGCCACCCCATACTAACCTGTCCGTAATGCCGGGACGCTAACCTCACCTGTAGGCTTCGTATTCCTCGCCGGCGCATGCCTCTCTTTCTTTGTTGGCATCCAGGTCATGTTCGAAATCAGGGAGTCAGAACTCAGGCGTGGCATCTCTTTGAGATGCTGATAGTCCCGTTGTGATTATTGCTGTGGTAATTACGTGTACCAAGGTACGTTCTAACGGTACCCGAAGGTTCACTGTCAAGGGAAATTCGAATAGTAGAGCTCATGAATAGAACCCGACATCGGGAAAGTACAAGAACAAGCAGGAGGGTAGGAAAAAAAGGAACCTCGCATCTAAACGGATACATACAGATAGATGCCACGGCGAGTGAATATAAGCCTAATGTTGGTGACTTTGCTCGATCTTTGTGGCACTTTCTGGATCGCTCGTTCCGGTAACCCCATCACGAGCTGAGAATTTCCCGCTCATGCCGAACTTGGTCTCGGATGCCCATGTCCGGACCCATATAAGGCCACGCACCAGCAGGAAGAAAACAACACAGCTGACAGCGATTCCGCATACATAACCTGCCAGACGGCCAGATCCCTTGGACGGGTCTAGGAAGGGGTATACGTAGAAGCCGCGGGTTGCGCGCGTCAGATACGCAAGAGCCAGGTACAGGCACAGAACGACCAGCAGCCACAAAATGTGGATCCACGGTGGGAGAGCGGTGCGTGGGAAGATGACCTCAAAGAGGGCAAAGCCGGCGTTCATGGCATGACGGCTGACATTGGACCACCAAGAAAAGGTATTATCGAAAGGCCGGGTGAAGAGGATACCCCAGTAGACGACCGTCACGATGAGGGGGAAGACGCAGATTGTGGTGTAGAACAAGCTATGCAGAGCCTGAAGCGGCCTTGGGAATACGTCGAGGAGAGGCCGACCCGACTTGGCGTAGGTGGCTGTGTGGATTGCAGAGACGAGGAAATAGAAGGCAAGGCCCCTGGGAGAAGGTCAGCGCGTGGGGCTCAGAAGCCACCTTGGAGCCTAATGAGGAGATGCACTGACCAGTAGGTGATGACGGTAAAGTAGGAAAACTCTCGCGACGCAGACTCGCAGCTTTCATGGCCACAGAGCCAGCCAAGGGAGAAGAAGGACGTGACGAACGCGTACAGGCCCTGTGCAACGTAGAAGAGCAGGCTGCTATTAGCGACGGCGATGGACATCGAAGGGCCGTCCCTAGCCAAAGGCAGAGAAATTAGACTTACCAACAGTGCTCTCAGACCAAACAAAACCCAAGGCGAGAACAGCCACGACGTCACAAACCGATGCGACGGGTCGAAGGGCTCGGAGCCGAGAGAGAACACCTTCGGCGCCATACTAGACTCACAAGGCCAGAACAGTGAGCAAGAGTGTGAAAACAGTACACAGGCAAAGCCGCGTTTGTGGCTGGGGGTGGGCGGGAAGGCGCCTTAATAGGTGCCCTCGCGAGCCGGCAAGGAAGCTAGGACAGGCCTCTATATTTTTGACGTTACTGCGCGGCTACCGACGACGGGGCGCGGTATGACATTGAAGAGAAGCGAGTCGTCAATGGAGCCGCGTGCACAGCCTCCCCGGTCGTCATTCGAGATTATTGGCCATTGTTATTAGGCAGTGGCGGGTTCGCCTCCTGGGGCCCAGCGCGATGTTTGGGGCTTGGCGAAAGGGGTGGATCTGTCCCACTCCAGAATGCTCGCGCTTGTCCCCTTGGCGGGACTCTCACTTTGCGACAACAAGGCCCGAGGTCCATGGTCGGCATGCGCACTCGTGTGGTACTGGTGGGCAGGTGTACCATCTGTAGGGGTAGAGAACGTTAACGTCGGCCATCGACCGGGGTCATTATGGGTACAGTGCCCGCATAGTGTATTACGGTGCTTTCAACTTTTTTTTTTTTCACGCTTTTCCTTCATTTACCCAATTCTTTTCCGCAAATTACTAACGAAGCTGAACCTGCCCAAAGCACGCAAAAAAAATAAAAATATTGAAAATTTAAGCTAATAAACCAAATTAACCGTTGTATTTGCTTTCCCAGCTAGCTAGCGCGTTTAATTCCAATACTGCCTACATCCTTTGCATTTTGGGTATTTTGCGGAAAGGAAAAAGGAAAAGGACGCTAAAGCGCAAGAAAAAAAAAGGTGAAAGCATTGTAGTACACTATGTAAGCACCGTACCCCGTAATAACCCCCGGTTAGTGAGCCGGCTTTAACGTTCTGTACCCTTACAGATGGTAGGTGCGTAGCACCAGAGGCTCTGCAACTCTTGATTGAAATGTGGTGTACGGATTACTGGGCTTTGTTGTTACAGCAAAGTTTGTCCCGGGTTAGCTGCCCGGTTTTGGATGACTGTGGATGGATGGATCATCCTGGAAGATATTTCCATCAATATTGGTGTTGAAATTGACAAGTCATATCTGCAGGCCGAACGTTGAGATCGTTTTGGTAGCCGTGGGTCGATTTTTTGCAATCCCCATACAAAATAATATTGCGGAAAATCGCGCGCGGCACCGCAACCCTTTAAGGGGGAAAACCCTCAAGATTAACGTTGGTGGGTATATAAGGAGAGGCACTGAGTTGGCACCCTTTCACTGGAATAGCACCTATTTCTAACAACCAACGTGGGCCTGTCAGCACTATATTATAGTGCTTGACAAGCCTGACCCTTGTGAACGTGACTTTATAATCCACTGTAATCGTGCTGCAAAGCCCCAACTTGGACCCTGTAATCTAACAATTGGCTATGCGCCCACGCCGACTAAAAAATTAGCAATACACCAAATTGATTCCCCACCAAAAGCCGCCCACCACCACATTTAATTTACAGTCATTTTGCCCTTTGCATTAATGATTCTTTGCAAGCACGTTATTTATCCCGTCCACCCACGCATTGATCCGCGCTTGCGAAAGGTTATCCCAACCCTCTTTTGCAAGGCTTTTCAATAAAGTATCGTCCCAAACAGCCTGTTTTTTTTACAGCTGCTTTGGGGCTTGCTAAGCGAATTTAATAGGAAGGATATTAAAAAATGCGGGCGATTAAAGTAATGTTGGAAATTGTTTTTTTCCTTCCAAATTTTAACGATATTGCTTTTTCCTTTGCTTGTGCCATGCCTTAAATCGTTATCTTCTTTTAGGACAAAGTCTTGGCCTTTACGTAACTAAGAACTTATTATAAGCTCCAGGATTACGTCCTTATAAGTACGGAGGGTTATTTTCCCGTTATGAATCCTGGTATCGTACCAAACCAAAGGACTTTTAAAGTTATATCCAACAGCAACCCAAACGTGCACCTGCTTAACATTTTTTTTAAAAGGGCTGCTTTTTTCTTGCACGCAATTTGGGCAATCCCTTTCCAAAAGCCGTCGAATAATATAAGCGCGTCCTTTCGAGCCCCAATTAAAGTAAATTTCGGTGGAAAAACGGACGTAACGCTAATTTTAAGGCATAAGATACTTTTTAAGCATTACTTTCGCGTATTTTTTTCGTTGTTCAGCAAAGCGTAAAGGAACGTAAACTTTTTAGCAAGCTAAGCATTTTCGAAAACTGGCTTTTCGCATCGTTGTTCGAATCGTTTTAACGGAAGCTTAAGTATTAAAGCCAGCAATTGCTAAAAAAGCGGCTTAATTAAAGCTCCAGCCGTTCCAACCGTTATTAATAATTGCTTGTTCCATATTTTAAATATCGGTATTGGAAAATAATCGTTTGCGACCGCGTAATTTTTGGTGGTTGGAATGGAACGTTCGGGGGTCGAGGTTTCCATCTTCGCAAAGAATCTTCCAGCCGCATGCGTGCGATACGCCCGCCCATCGAAAAATATCGAATTTGAAATGAAGGATATTATAATCCTGCAAATAATCGCTAATACCTGTACGCGGGTTTTTTTTAGGTGTAAAATGGTGGTGGCCAGGCATTGTTTTGTTGTTTTGTTAATTGAAGGGATTGACTTTTGGTAAGGAATCAATTTGGTGTATTGCTAATTTTTTGGTCGGCGTGGCGCCCTACCTACCTACCTGCATTCATACACACATGCAGCACCACAGCACACAGGTCCTCTGCCGCAGCACCCTCACTGCAGCAACGGCGATCATGTCTTCTCGCGGAACAAGGTGCAGCAGATCGGCAAGTCCGGGCCCTAGTTGGAAGCCGAGAGCTGTTGCTCAGATGGTCAAGCTTCTGCTCTCCCTCAGCGCGACTTCTCGTTGTGCTCGAGCATGGTAGTCGAAAGGAACCTGATGCCTGCATTTAGCCGCTAAGACTGAGTGGTAGGTGGTAGGTGGGGGATGGTCTAGGCCGGGCTGGCCGGGCAGAGTGCACAAGAGTCCGCCAGCTGCTCTTGTTGGAGTGCTGCAGAGGCACAGAGACCGACCATGTGGGGTGTCATTCCTTTATTGCGACGCACGATGCGTGCAACATAGCACAACGATGCACATGCCTGCATAGGCCCCCGTCCACATGGGTCGGTCGCCTGGGCGCTAGGTGACCCAAACTGCGAAGACACGTCTCTGATGGCCCGAGTGGGAGCCTGTCCGTCCAGGGTTGGACTGAGACTCGGGCGTTGGGCCGTTCGCAACCAGAGCAATTTCGACTCGCAGCAAATATTCCTCGCCCCCTCACTCGCGCCCAGGGGCTTCCGATGGTGCCCCCCCTTAACATAGCACATGCTGCTAGTCTCAGGCACCAACTGCACGACTGACGACTGGCACGAACGAGTACCGCCCTAGACGTGATTAGGCCATCGGTAGCCCTGACAGATCATAGTCGAGGCTGACCGTTGTTGTTGTTGCTGTTGTTGTTGTTGTTGTTGTTGTTTTGTCTGTTGTTGTTGGTCGGTTCCTCGACTATGTGATAGCCGTGACCCAGCCACGACCGAGACAGCAACCCGGATCGGACAGGCGCTCAGCCTGTAACGCGCACCAACACGCGACCCTGTCGTTCCAAGTGCCCCCAGGAGGTCCAAGGTCCTGCCAGCACGCCATTTTCTCTGCAGCAACCTGTCTTGACACCTGCTGGATCCGAGGACGGACCCGTCACACTCGCAGACCGTCGCCGTGTCGGGAAAGGGCGACACCAGAGGCCGACGCCGCGCATACGCAGCATTCCCACCCCTTTTCTCGACACTCCAAGCATCACCCAAGCCGTCTTGCCACACCACGGCTGGAAACAGCACCACAAAAACTCGACCGGCTACCCCGAAGTTCGGCTTGTCGTGCCTGATTCGCAGCTAGTCATGCATCAGTTAGCGACTTGACCTCGATCCGCTGTGAAGGCTTGCTGCCCCATTGACTCGATTCCCGACGGCCACCGCTCCCGGCGCTTCCATCTCGCCCCCTTTCCGCGACGCCAGCTCCCGCTACCGTCCTGACTGGCGTGATTCGCTCGAGGCGTGTGCCATCTGCACCGTAGATCTCCGGCGTCGCCATGGCCACCGCCCGTGCCTACCCCTCGATGCGGGCGGAGGATGCGGGAGATGTCTGGTCGGCGCCAGGCCACAGCCATTCACAGAGCGAGTGTGAGTCTCCCGGCCTAGATGCGGAAGACATGTATGCGCGGCCCAAAGACGTACCCGAGCACCCTATCCCAGCCATGCAACAGGCGTTTGCCGAGTCCTACATCGAGGCCACGACAGGCACCGCCCCGGAGAAGCCAAAACTGCGAACCAGGGATGCCAAAGGCCGACGAGAGGAGCTGCTGGACCAGGACGAGGCCGCCGAACCGCCCAGTGCTCTATGGCGCTACCGCCCTGGCCAGAAGTGCCATGAGCTGCGAAAGCTGATGGCCCAGGTCTCGTTTGGTGTTTATCTCCTCCTTAATGGCCTGGCCAACAGCAATGCACAAGTTGTTTCGATACTGCAGGGCCATATAGACGAGATCGACGAGTTTCTCGAGATGGTCATGGAGGATATCGACCTGGCCTCGGCCGACCTGACGGAGCGAATCGACTTCTTGAAGCTGCCGATGGACAACATGACTGTATTCACCACCATGCTGGAGGACCGCGCGTTCCGGCTACAGATCGTCGAAGGCAACGCCAAGATCGAGCACATCCTGTCGCGGACCACCACCGCCCTCGTCCAGTCCGCCCAAGACGTCAGCGAAGGTCTGAAGTCGACCAAGCAATTCACCGCATACCTCGAGTCCGAGGAAAACGGCCACTGGCGGGCCGAACGTGGGGACGTGATCGACATATTTGATGCCATGAGAGGCAACACGGAGGGCTGGCTGAATGCATTCATGGACTTGCAGTCCAAGAGCAACGCCCTCAACGCTTTGATAGTTAAACTTGACAACATGGTTGCCCTGATAGATCGGACTGCAGGCAAGGTCAGCCGACGCACCAGAGTAAGCTTTACCCCGGACCGGTGGTGCACAGCACATGCACGACTGGGCTGAAGTGATAATGGCGCTGTTCTCTTTGTTCCTGGCTCCGTCGCGAACACACACTAACCAACCAATACCTTGCTCGGCAACAGTTCAGCATCCAGCCGTTCACAACCCCTGACCAACAAAGTCGACCGTCTTCTCAGAGCTCCGGCGAGTGTCCCTCTTCACCACCGTCGCAGACACCACCGGCGAGTGTCCCGGCGGCGCCTCCCCGCCTGTCGCTAAGATTCAGCCGGACGCCTGAGGATCGGACTTCGGACCGGACCTACTTTGATTTGCCTGTCAGGAGCAGCTTCTTTCCCATCAACATGAAGGCCCCCGAAGAAGCACCCCGGGCTTCTATGGGCCTGACTTTGAAACCGGTGGCTTACACACCACCTGACGCGCACGTCGACTCCGATTCCGATTCCGAAACCAGCCAGGACACGGCCCAACCAACAGGGATAATCGTGCGCAACGAGAGCCCAGTCCGCCCGGATTCGCCCACCAACGATGGCGCATTATTCTTACTTCAGCCCCGGACGTACACGCCAGTGCCACCTGCACCCCTCCCCTCACCACGTGTGATAGGAAATGCGGCTTCCAGCAACGGCGCTGCGATATTGACCCCGGATATCCCACCACGGGACCGCCGACCTTCACCATCCCCGCGCCGACCCGACATTCAGCCTAGGGGAGATTCAGGTTCCCATATTCCTTCAAATGTGCGCGCGGAGGCCAAGCTCGTCCAAGTTGGATCCCCCCGCCTTCAGATTGGGCTGGATACGTCACTAGCATCCCGACATATGCCTTCGTCTTCTCCAAGGAGTGCGCCAGTGTCATCGGGTGATGATGGGCTGCGCCGACCTGGAAGGACATCTCTCCGACAACGAGTATCCCTCAAGACCAACCCTCCGGAATCCATACATGTGCCGCCGCCCGACGCACCCGAGCTTCAACGGCCCGTGTTTGCGTCCCCAAGGACGTTCCAGGCTTATGAAACATTCGTTGGGCCAGATTCCGCTTACGGTTCAGACAATGAGCGAACCGCAGTCAACTCGATGGCGGACCCGGCACCTGTCGACTTCTCGCCGCCCGTGTTCCCAGGCATCCTACCGTCACCGCATTCAGACCAGCAGTACTTCCGCCCCGTCCAAGCCAGCCCACACTCGCCGCTGCAGCAGCGGCCACACACTTCCGGCACATCAGCCCCTCGCTATCTCCATCACCAGCGCAACGCCCCTTCGGCCATGGGGATGAGCATGTTAAGCAGCGTCTCCACGCTCAACCACGATGCATCAGAAGGCCGGACGGTGAAGAAAAAACGAAGTGCGTTCGGCTGGCTCAAGAAGGCCTTCTCTTTGGATGAAGAGGAGCGCATGGCCTTTGAGCAGCGCAAGAACGAGCAAAGCAAAAACCTTTATTATGACAACCGAAGTCCTAAGTACCTTGACGGCAAACGGATCAGGTGATCCTGTTCCTTAGCTCATTCCCGCATTCACCCAACCGCACCCAACCCTGATACCCTCAACAGCGCACCATCTACCCTGAGCATGTTTTTATTCCCATGCGGTGTATTTTTACTAGTTCCACGCCCATTGGCATGGATAATTTGGATTTATGCGAATTTTGGGTAAACAAATAACCCTCGTTGCTGAGGCAGACTGGACGACCGCAACAAAGCATGTTTCTGGTATATGCCCCACGATTTTGTACATTTAAGAATCTTAGCCAAATATCCTGTCTTTTCTGATTGTCGTTTTGGTAATCCTTCCAGCCAATATGACGCTGGGCTTGCCTTCTCTTGCTGCGCTTTTGTGCAGACTGTATATGAATATCATGCTACGACAGCCTCTTGTCCGCGCTTTGGGTTTGCGCCTGTTTATTCGGCCCGTTTTGTGAAAGAATTGGTGTAAGTCTAGGTACCTTTGATACAAGCGGCTGGTGTGGGGCTGAGGAAAACCAGTTTCTAACCTCAGGCAGCAAGTTTTCCCGAACCGCCAACCTGGGGACTGCGGATTTGCCTTGCGCATGCACGCCCCATTCCGGCAGGCCCCCAATCGAATATAGTTTTGCCTGCATACCAGCCGTCTGACTTCTGCAGCCTGGTTCTGACCCGATCACGTCCAGGCCGAGACACGAGCAGCGACGAGGCTGTGCTGCTCACTGAACCAGAACCCTTGGAGCCCGTTGATCTTGACGTCTCCTCCGACCGGGAAGAAATCGGTCGCCCCGCGCAGCTGCAGCTGTCGGCACTCCACGTTGATAAAATCCACCCTAGATTCTCCCGCGAAATCGGGTCATCACCGCTGGCTGGCTGAACCATGCTGCCCTCATCAGCCCGGCGCGTAGCCTCGGCCGCGCCGCCCTCGGTGTTCGCGGGCGCTGTTGCCGTCGGCTTGTGCCTGCGCCCGACGGCCTCCGCCACCAGCACGACCTCGTCCGTGGGTCCTCGGGCCACCCGTCACCAGAGGAGATACTCGTCATCGAACCCCTCAAGTCCCGATAATGACCCCGAAAACATGTCGGCCAACCGCTCTCTGCCGGCGCAGTCTACCAAGTCCTCGTCTTCTTCAGAGAAGCGAAAGAGGCGCTCCAAGGAGTCGGCCGGTCGTTCTGCACTTGCGGCCCTCCCGTCGGTTCCAAGCACGCAAAATTTGCCTAGAGAATGTAAGCCGCCGCCCGCATCGAACCCCCACCATACCCTGCCTCGTTTTCTCGGTTGCGAATCCTCTTGTGTGTCCCCCTGGGAGAGTTCCCGTCTATACCCCTGTCCTCGCCCATCACTTCAACCTATGCTAGATAGTTTGTCGATCTTGCCAGCCATAGAAGAACTTGTCAACGCGTGCTAACTGTCATAGCCTTGGCTCTCTCGGCCTTCTTCTCTCTCCACCGACCCATCTCGATCACCCATAGCCTTCCCAGAGCCGTAAGCGACGATGCGTTCGCCTCCATCTTCGCCCGTCGCGGGCGCTCTGAGAAGATGAACGATGTGATATCGGCCCTTTCACAGAGTGTCCAAGAACTGGAGCAACCAATGGGGGGCCTCAACCTGGGGGGCCAGGAAGGCTACCCGGAAAGTGGCGAAGGCATGCCAAAGATCAGCCTGAAGAACCCAGATGGGAGTGACTCGGGCGTCTACGTGCAACTTAATGCCATGTCAGGCGACTTTCTGCCCTTCTGCCCCCCACCGATCCCGGAGCCAAAGTCCGAGGTTACGGGTGTGGCAGAGGGAACCCCGACGCAAGTCGCTTCTCGGGAGACGACTGATCCCGCCGATCAGCATGGATCGGAACCTCGTCGTCGCGTCTACAAAGCCATGCTCACGATCGAGGAAACCGTCGAGTCAACCGGAGAGGTCAAATATATGGCACACAGCTCGGAGCTTCATGAGGAGTCGACCGAGCCCCGACGCTCGTTTCTCGAGCGACTGGCTCGCCGACAGATCATGTTCCAAGAGAGCCAGAAACGCAACGGGACGATTTTGGCCATCAGTGTCAAGAGGCAGCGGAAGCTCAAGATGAAGAAGAAGAAGTACAAGAAGCTGTTGAAGAGGACACGCAACGAGAGACGCAAACTTGACAGGCTCTAGACATCTGGAACTCGTCTCTTTCTGCGCACTGGATTGTACATAATACCATATTTCATGTCTTTCTTCGTTTCGCCCCTGTTCCCCCTCCTCTGACCCAGAGTCCCTGTAACCTTGATAGATATACCCTCGTTGAGGCCTACTCGAAGAGCACGAGATTGAATCTCTTGTCTGTGATTTTACAGCAACGCGCTCGACACCAGCTGCTACGATCTTCCAAGGACTCCTTCGAGAAGCCACTGTCCAACACGGCAGCCGTTCAGTTTTGGAGCTGCACCGTAGTTTGGTTGGATCGCCAGGAATGTTCTTTCCCATATGGCAGAAACACTCGTAGAGGAGACTCACAATTTCGCCATTTGTGGCTGTGGAAATGACTTCCTTGACCCGAATACCATCTGGCTGAATCTGCCGGATTTGTTGGCGTGGCATTCGTTCAGCGATATTCGATTACATTCCAAACCCCTCTTGCCAGACCGCCTTACCGTTCTTTTGCCATCAGCGTTTTCCTCCCACCATATGAGCGTGTCCTGGCCGATGGACTTAATCTTCTGCTCCTTAGCCCAGTCCTGGGCCGCCACTGGCACAATGTAACGTTCCACAAAGCGCTGGATGTTGCCTTGTGCCCGATCGCGGCCACCGGCTCCCTCGTAAGCGTTGGAGCCAAACTCGGAGTAGTCGGCAGCATCCTCCCATGGCTTCTGAGGGAGCGCCTCGAGCGCAGAATTCAGGGGCGATAGGACGACGGAGGCCTGTCGTGGGTCATTCGCGCGACGGCTCGTTGACTCAACATTTCTGACTAGAGACCCAAATCCGTTGACGCGTTTGTCGCCCAGAACATCGGAAAGCAGCACACCCGCTCCCACCAGGCTTCGTTTGTTGGACCCTTGGGACATGTTTCTGTTCTGTAATGGGGGTAGCTGGACATACAGACCCCTCAAGGTCTGCGATTTACTTCATCTCCATCGGACATGTAGGTACAGTCCTTTGCCAGTGCCCAACACGAGGGGCATCCACATATTCCAAGCGCCAATGACGTAACTGACATGCGTCCATGGCTGCGTTGGCGTCACCCCATTCGTGACTGACATTCGTAACTGACGTGCTGATGAGCAGCGGCGCCTGGAAGTGAAGTCTACACACGTGAGAACATAGCGGGAGATGGGTGAAGGGTACGGGACATCATGGACTAGAGCGGTCACATGGCGCAACTACCGTCTGTCGGGTGAGCCCCTACCTTGAGCCTGAGGCCAAATACGTCAGGGTCCGTAGCTACCTATGCGGCCATCGAATTTGCATGTGACGCCCAGCTTCAAATAAGATCTCCTACCTCTCCACACTCCAGCTAGCCATTACCTTCGAAACGGCAAACGCGATGTTCGCCCCTCAAGTAGCTCCGGTTTGTCTTTTCTTTGGCTTCTTCAGCCTCGTGGCGGGTTATGTCTGGCCTCGTTACGAAATATCTTTCTCTCGTCCCAGCACACCTTTCCCTCTAGACAATTTGGAGTCTCGAGGCGCTGTGCTTTCTTTCACGAATGCGATAACAATCGTCCTCGTGAGCCAGGGCTTCGTAGGTAGTCCATCGCTGGTACGCCAACAGAAAGCTAGATCTTCACCAGATGCCTACCTGTTGTTGGCGATGTGAGCACTCCTTGGAAGGGCTTTCATCTAGCCCCCGCTCTGCGTTGCCTTTCACCACATAAAGCACTACAATTGGGTGGGACGCCGCTGCTACTTCCCAGCCTCGGCATTCTGACCGCTCTGGGGTGGGTGGACCCACCACCAACCTCGCGTCGGCGCGTGTCGGCGGAAGTGCGATGGAATGCTCTCTTGGGACGTAGCTGATTGTAACTGCCTCTATCGTGAATGGATGCCTCAAATCCAAGCTGTAGCGCGTTGGTTCTGCCCGTTC